TTCTTCCTTTTAAAAGGGAGTTTTTCCTTTCCACTGTTGCCACTGTGCTTGCTCAGGATGGGAGACTGCAACGAAGCAAAGATTCAACTTGTCTGCTGAATTCCTTAGAGAACTTTACTAATTGGCTTTTATGTATGTGAATGTTCCTGTAAAGTGCCCTGAGACAACTTTGTTGTGATTTAGCGCTATATAAATAAACTGAACTGAATTGAATTTGGAATCATGCTGAACCACCGTTGCACAAACATCGGTTAAAACTTGATCAAGAACCAGCGGAGCGTGCGCGTAGCTACAGCTAACCTCTTACTGGACCGTGTTTGTTGGAGACTAGTTGACGACACAGACTTGTGGGAAATTTGGGCTTTGATTTTTCAGGAGTACAGGTTGGGTTGATTCGATACCAGACTCGCGTATTTGTACTCATAAAAACACTCCGATACTTTAGACCGATACCACTTTATGTTTGGTGACATCACTTCCTCTTCGACTTGGCAGGTGAAACGTCCGTAGTTGTGAGTTATTTTAAGTTGAACTCAGGCGATGTTAAGATGTTTGCTTTGCTCTTAATAAAAGAAATGCAGTGCTAAAGTCAACATATGATGTTTAAAAACTTGTTACCACCTCAGCGTCATCAAGTACCCAAACCAAAGTACTCCGTCTAAGAAAAAAAAAAAATAATTATTGGAATCCCTCTGAATCGGATGCTTGTGTGTCTCTTGAACGCAGCAGCTACGTGCTCTGGACCTCACGGGCCTCTCGCCAGTTCAGTGATCATTCTATCATGAGACGTACGATTTGGAGAACCTCAGAGGTGATTACTGGGGTCTGGTTGGGTCATGTTACCATACCACACGCATTTTATTTATAGAGCACTTAAAACAGCTACAAGGCCAACCAAAGTGCTGTACAGACAGAACAACAGACAACACACGAAGCAATATACAAAATGAAGTAAATCAAAAATATAGACATAAAATTGATGCAGATAATAAATATGACGCAAACCAGTGTGGAGCGTACAGGTTCAAATCACAGATCATCTGGTGTTGAAAGCTACTGAATAGTGAGTTTTTAAACGGGATTTGAAAATCGAGAGGGAGGGGGCCTGTCTGACAAGCGGAGGTAACTCGTTCCAAAGTCTTGGTCCTGCTACAGAGAAGGCCCTGTCACCTCTGCACTTAAGACGAGTTCCTGGAACTGTGAGCAGCAATTGGTCTGCTGACCTCAGGGAACGTGATGGGACATACGGTTGTAGCAGATCGGGGTGGGTGGGGGGTGGACTGTTCAGCGATTTGTAGACATACAGGAGTATTTTGAACTGGATTCGAAGGTGAACCCGGTAGCCAGTGCAGTGAGGCCAAAACTGGTGTAATGTGCTCTCTTTTGCCTGTACTGGTTAAAAATCGGGCTGCTGCATTCTGGACCAGTTGTAGTCGTACAATGGAGGTTTGACTGATACCAAACAGGAGTGAATTGCAGTAATCAAGCCTAGATGTAATGAATGCATGTATTACGGTCTCCAGGTTATTTTTGGACAATATGGGCTTCAGTTTAGACAGCCACCTCAGCTGGAAGAAGCATGATTTAACAATCATGTTTACATGATTGTTAAGTTTCAGGGAAGGGTCCATTATCACTCCCAGATTAGTGACTCTTTGTTTTTCTGACAGGGTTAGAGCGGAAAGGTCGATGCAGTGGTTTGTGATCGTGTCGTTGGGAGGGAACAACATGACTTCAGATTTCTTTTCATTGAAACTTTTAAGAAATTTAAAGCCATCCAGTCCCTGATGTCAGCCAGGCAGTTGAGCAGAGGTTGTGTAGAGCATGTACCACTGTGTCTTAGGGGGAAGTAAATTTGACAGTCATTGGTGTAGAAGTGAAATGGTGCGTTGTTTCCGGAAAATAGCACCAAGTGGCAGCAGGTATAGAGAGAATAGGAGGGGACCCAGGATGGACCCCTGCGGAACCCCCATTTAAGTTCTGTTGCTGCAGAACTAAAATCATTGTGTCCCTTATTGTCTGGTTGTTGTCTCTATTCACCTACCAAACCTTTCGCTCTCACATTTCTCTAAATCTAAATATTTGTATATTTGTGGTTGGAGTTATTTTAGCTGATATATAAGCCGTTACTGTTTTAGCTTCTTGTTAGCTTTTAGCCACTACTGGCTGATAACTGGCGTTTCTTTGTCTGACTTGTTTAACGCTGATCAAAACTAAAACTTGTAGCTTCTGTCCTGCGTTTGCTCATATGATTGTTGGCGTCTCGGAGTTGAATGTTTAGTTGCTTCGTGCTGATTCATGTTCTGGTTCTTGAGGTTCACCTCACCTTCAACATTGTCACCCGCCGCCCTGAAGGACAGCCACTTGTGAGCGTCTTCAGCAAAACCAAAAATGTCTTAACGCTGAAGATTTTACAGATATCGAGCTAGAATCTGGTGCGGTGGTAGCCGAGTCATCCCCATCACGCACTCTGAGGGCTGACGGCTCATACCAGGTCTTTGGTAAAAATGTTGGTATGCACGGCTGTTCCGTTATTTCTTGACATTTCCGGCACAAACACCTGGACATTCAGGGTTTCGCCAGGTATTAGAAGATCTTCTGACACAAACCAGAACATCTTGCAGGTTCTGAATCAGGATATGAATCAGGTTCTGAGTTTTGCGATGGACTGTGTGAAAATATTTAAATGGCATGACTGAAAACAGGAGATTTCAGCTTTGAAAACAAAAATAAAACTATTTTTTTAGGATGACCTGAACACAGAAGGCATTTGTTTTTCTTCTGTCAGTGTTTCTTCATACTGGTGCTTTTTCTGAAACAAACACACCTCCTTCAACTTATCAACTTTTCAGAAATCTTCCCTCGTGTATTTTTAAGTAAAACATTTCGAAGGCACTGTTCTGTTTTCTTTTTGCTGATCTAAGCTTCATAAATAA